AGATGCTTGGCACTATGTTGCAGTGTGGAGGTTGGTCTGCTTGTGTATGTGTTCCCCTTTCTATCACAGCCATGCTTGTTCCTCCTGTGTGGTAAGTTGTTTTCCCCTCTCTCTCATTACAGGTTCCCTGTTTGGCCTGAGTTCTTCTTCTGGGAGATCCTCTTGCTTGGATGTATTTCCTCTTCTTTGAGCTTGCCCCTTGAAGAACAGAGGGACTAAAACTGGTTTTCTTTGTTCCAGGTGGTCTTTCCAGCCTTTTTCTAGCAGGTGGTTTGGTGGTTGGGTCGAGAATCTCCACTGGCAGTGTCTCATAGATAGGACCTAGCCTTAGTGTAGCTGGGATTCTGTCTTGTAGTCTGAAAGTAGCCTCGGGTTCCTCCTCCTCAACAGTATTGTAAGTGATCATGGTTGATCTTACCATATTCTCAGCAGTCTCCTGGACTTCTCCTGCAGCTTCTGATAGTCTTGTTCTTTCTCTTCTTGCTGCACTTTCAACTGGATCAGCACAGTTAGCATATTGGACCATTACTTCCCTCACCTCTCCCATGGCTGTCTCCAAAGCTTTCCTGGGTAATTCTGTTGGTTGTTTATGTGTTTCATCTATGGGCTCTCTATGAGGTCTTGGGGTTCGAGAGGATTCAGACAAATCTCTGATCTGTCTGACAGGTGATCTCAGTTGATCCATCTCTCTTGTTTTAGCCATCCAGATTGGTCTTGGTGGTGTTCTCCCCTGGAACTTGTTTACCCCCCTTGTTTGTTCTCTGTAACTCTTGGGGGTATGTGATTTGGACCCTTCTCTTAGGTAGTTATTATTGTTTGGTATCTCTTTCCAGATCATGCTCATCTCTGACTCGCATCTGTGCATGGCTTGAGACCCTTTGATTGTAGTTATCTGTGTTTTGGTAGCTCCTTCCTCCATTGGATGATCCAGATCTTTGTGTGTGGTCTATATGGCTTCCACCTTTAATGTATGTTCCCTCTCTCTCTCTTCTGTAATCTTTCTCAGATCTGTTCCTTGAATTATTTGATATAATGAGAGGATTTAGTTGAGCAGATTGTCTCCTTAATCTATGAAAGATTAGATAAGTACTCTAGACCAAAAAATATACATCATATTGATTTGAATTCGAATATTGATATATAGCACAACCAAATGGTCCAAATTACATGTTCACATCAAATTTACTTTGGTTAAATATGAAAAAACAATATTATATATTTTCATTAACTATCTAACTTAAAATAATTATAAAATACTAAAATTATTAGCTAATTCAACAAACAAATATTATTATAAAATAAATAAAAAAGAATGGGTAATTTCGGGAGTTTTTACAGTAAACCAAAATCATAATACAAATCGAATAAAAAAAGAATATTACGTAATCGATAAGAAAATAAAAAAATCTCCAAAATTTGCTGCGATCCTTTTACACGTTCCAAGCCAAATCTCTCTCTACCTCTCCCCTACAGAGTCTCCGTCTTCTCTGAAGCTTCGAAACCATCATCTTCTAGCAAAATTCTCAATCTCTCTCGTTTCTAAGAGATTAAACATGAATATCTTCACCAAGAAACCAAATCCCAGAGGTTTGATTTCGAGTTTTGCTTTTATATCACCGGATTGTGTATTTTTGAATTATGTTTGTTTCTCCGATTGATTATGGAAATGTTTGTTTCTCCGATTGATTATGGAATTTGATCATATGGGTTTCTTCGGGTTCGTTAAAAGTTGACTTCTTTATGGCGCGATCGTGATCATATTTCTGATGCTTCTTTTGGAACCTGGCTTGGTTTCGTCTGAAATCGAGAATCCTGTTTATGAAACGACATTGGTGTCTATGGAAATTTGATGTTTTGATGGCTCTCGGAATCTTAAATGTTTCGTTTTTGGTATTTTGCAGAAGTGCTTAGGGAGAGTAAGAGAGAGATGACACAAGCTACAAGAGGTATTCTTGTTGTTCATATATGATTAGCTTTAAGATTTTACTATTGAATCTAGAAAAAGGTTTGATTTTGATGACTTTCATTCAAAAGCTACTAACTAAATTCCATTGGCACAACAAACTACAAGTTTTAATTGCTATATACATAAAATTCCTCTCAAACTGATGAAATTCCCCTTTTCAGGAATCGAAAAGGAAATCGGATCTCTGCAATCAGAAGTATGAGTGTGGCTAATGCTCTATGTTATAGTCCAATTTTTGTTTTCAGTGTACAAACTCTGACATATGTTTCTTTCATGTATGACAGGAGAAAAAACTCGTTCTCGAGATAAAAAGAACTGCTAAATCAGGGAATGAGGTATTTCAAGCAGTCTTTATCGATTGGTAATTCCTTTTCCGGGGGGAATTTTGTGTCTGAAGTTGATGTGTTGTACATCTTTTGTTTTTATGCAGGGAGCTACAAAGATCCTTGCACGGCAATTGATCCGGTTAAGGCAGCAAATAGCTAATTTACAAGGAAGTCGAGCTCAAATGCGAGGCATAGCTACTCATACACAGGTCTCTTTGAATAAAACTTCTCTCCTTTTATTTGTAAAATGTTTCTGTTTTATAAACCAAGAAGATCATACCTTGTTCTAAATTTCATACACTGCAAACTAGAGTATTGAAAAGTTTTACTTTGGTGTTTAGGCTATGCATGCACATACTTCAGTTGCTGCTGGAATGCAAGGTGCAACAAAGGCAATGGCAGCTATGAGCAAGGTCAGATTTCTATATAACACATATCAAATTTTCATATGTTTATTGATTTGGATGGATTTTTCACCAAATTATTCTAATGATTTAACTGAAATGTTTCTGATATTTCCAGAATATGGATCCAGCAAAACAAGCTAAGGTTATGAGAGAATTCCAAAAGCAGTCTGCACAAATGGACATGACTGTAAGTTCTATTAAACCATCTTTTCTTTAAAATTCATGACATTGTAAATAGTTAATTCTGACTAATGCGTATGGTATTCAGACTGAGATGATGTCAGACTCCATAGATGATGCTTTAGACAATGATGAAGCTGAAGACGAAACAGAGGAATTGACTAACCAGGTACATTTCCGCGTCTTACTCATAACTTCAACTCTAAAAATAGAGACTATTTCAAAGGTTAATGAACAAGGCTTTTTGTTTTACTTGTTAGGTTCTTGATGAAATCGGCATAGATATCGCCTCACAGGTTTGTGTTAACCATCGATTCTCTTCATTGCTCCGTCTCTTGATGGCTTCTCTGTGATTGATTCTTTGTCTCTGTTTTGATTCATCTGCAGTTATCATCTGCTCCAAAAAATCAAATTGGGAAAAAGAATGCAGAAGATGTTAGTAGGTATGGTACTCCACAATAAACACAACTAGAACATATATCTCTGTATTTTCAATCTCGAAAATCAAAACTCGATATTTTTTTATCGCAGTTCTGGAATGGATGATGAACTGGAGAAGCGGTTGGCGGCGCTTAGATAGAAAGAACAAGTTTGATTGTGGAGGTTGAAGATGTTTCGGAACAAAAAAAATTCATACAATCAATGTGTCTTCTACAGTTTGATTGTGGATTTATAAACAATTAAACAAATGTAGTACCATTGTTTTTCTTTTTGTTATCTACCAGCCTTTTTCCTCTGCAATGTACAAAACAACGTCTTTGCTTTTGTTTTCTGCAATCAACTCTTGTGCGCCAAGAAGTTTGGTTCTATGAAAGCTCTATTAACTAAAACAAGTTCAGCAAAAAAAAAAAAACTTGTAATAAGGTAAACGAATTCTTAAAAAGATCGTAATTGTGTGAGATAGTGAAAAACAAGATAAAATCAAAATTATATCCATGACCATGAGTCACCGCCGATCCGAAAATAATTTCTTTAAATTATAGTGGCAATACAAAATAATGGAACCGAACCGAAACCAACATGAACTAAGTACAAGTACAACTAAATCAAACTAACCAAGTATGCATGGGAAATTACCAAGTCACGTAATTCCATTAAGCGTTGACTCATACTGTCATACATAATATAACTGAGGAAAACGTGGTATATGTTTCCTCTTCTTTTTGGTTAAAAGTTTTTTTTTTTTTTGTTCCTGCTAAGCGTTGACTTGTATTGTATGAGATCTATTCGTAACTAAATTGTAATCATTACTTTAGAGTTTTAAACATAAATATTTACGCAAAATTGAAAATGGATTTCCTCATCCTATAATCGATTGGATATAAAGTAAATATATTTTCCAAGTAGAGTTGACTTTTAAATGCATACGTGGCAACTTTAATTATATCTGAGTATCATAATGTATATACTCTTAATTTTGAAAATATTTATCTTTATTTATCCTCTTACTAAGCACAATTCTTAATATAGGAAGTGGGAAAATTCCCAAAAAATTCCTGAATTTAATTATATTGGCTAAAAAAATACTCAAACTTTTTTGGTTACCCGATTAATACCCAGATTATTTAACGTTGGTTTTTCAGTACACAAAATTTTTAAATGTTTTGGTTTTACTACATCACCGTTAACGAAGTTAACCTGACTGACGGAAATTTGTAAACGCTGTTAAATTTTAATTAATACGTGTTATCTACAGTAATTATATTAATACATTATT